CTACACTACACACACACACACACACACACACACACACACACACACACACACACACACACACACACACACACACACACACACACACATATATATACCTCGTACACCGGTGTATCGCTCGCACGCGAAGTGCACCGGCTGTTTTCTGTTGCATGCATATTGCCTCGCGCAGTTTCCGAACGTTAACCGTGTGTATATTAAAGTTCTACTTCTTGGGACAGCGCGTTTCACATGCGAAGCAACGGATCGAAGCAACAAAAATTACGACGTGAACGACTCGCACAATTCGCTCGTGCGTTTTTCCAAGCTCGAGCTCAAGAAGTCAAGGAACGAGGAAAGAGGAATAATCGGTAAATCGATAACGAATCATTTCATTTGTCGAGCAATGTCAAACCGACGCATTTTCCGGGTTAAAAGTTAATACGGAGCATTTGTTTTCTTCTGTCTACAACATTCGCAAATTGGATCTCACGACGGAACTTCCGCCAAGGCGAAGACTAATTGGAAAATATTCGCGCGATTAATTGGAAAATAAATATAATCCCATTCAGCCATTTGCACACTTTTGACATTTCGCTCAGCGGGCGAAATCGCCCAATATGATAATCGGTCAATGCTAATTGTCCTCTTTGCATCTTTCAAATTCTATTTGCGCCGCTGCCAATTATGGAAGCTAAAATAAAACGCGAGAGACATTTCGTTAAAAGAGCAATTTATCGCGAACAATGGATATTTGCCTAATTGCGAGCTGATAACGATTTGTGTGTCCCCGAAACAATATATTTTAATTTATATTTATATTTTGCCGTATACACGTATTGAACACGACTTACCGTGCACATCAACGGGAATTTAATTTTATTTATTCGTAATGTATTTTCGCGTTGCTCAAAAACACACACATTTTTCGATTTATTCGCCGGAAGAAATCGTATTATCGCTTTTTGTCGTATCGGCACTTCCACCACTGGCGCGCTGACGTCAGGGCTTTTACGTGATACGTTTATATTTATCGCGGGTAAATCTATCCCTTAAAAACCCGCGGCGCCCGGTTCGCCAATTGACACATTACGAAACTTTCCAAGACCGCGGAAGATTATATCGGCAACGATGCCGTTGTTCGCCGACGCGGAATTGAAAATTTCAAGTAGATAAATCCGAGCGAATAGCAAAGATTTATTTTGCCTTAACTTGGATAAGTGAGTTCAGGCTGGTAATTTCAACTTGCTACTCCTCCCGCAAGCCGCTGCATTGCGGAAAAACTTGTATTTTCCTAGCGTAGCGCAACATACCAGAGCTGTTAAATCATTTCGTTACGAATTGTCAGAGATTCCAGACTTCCCCCTTTGTTCGGGCCGATTCAACTTTACAAAGGGCTCCGCAACAATGACATTGCCTACGCTCGCGCTTGCGTAACGCTAAATATTGCGCGCTAATATTTATGCGCGTGGATAAATTTTCTCGCATAAATTCGCCTCGCGCACAAGACTGCACAAGGAGAGAAGCCTTATTCGCCGTGTTGTAATTCCATGGTGCCGCGATGCTTTATTCCCTTAAAAAGATTCGCATTATCCCGGATACCCCCCCTAAATCCGTTTGCGTTACGTCTACTTTACAATTTTGCCGGACGATGTGATCGCTTTTGAAGCAGCGAGAGGCAGACGTGTTCCTGTCCGCCTAACATCGACGGAATAAAATCTATCGGAAACAATTTTATATTACCATAATAATATCGCAAACGGTATCATCATAATGGTAAATATGCGACACGCTGCAAATAACTGCATTATGTATATACGTTATTTATACACCGCTCGATGTATCGAGATAATTTCCTGTGAATATCTGTTGATATATATTTCATCGAGAATTACCATCGAATTTTCTCGTACATACCTACCCCTCCCCCCCCGCTTATTTCATTTCTTACCACTCGCTCGCGATTGTATTTCGTTTTTTGTATTTCGTTTTTTGCGCGGCGTTAAGTTCGGTGTTGTCATTAACGGCCGCGTCGCCGGAATCGAGAATGGAATCGAAATGGATCTTGTTTATTGATAGTTGTAGCACAAGTGCACAAGTAGCCCGTAATCCATCTCTGCGAGCAAAACGAGAAGATAATCTTGTTATTGCGACTTATTTTCCTGACCAGTGGAGTATTAAGTACCGCTTAATTTTCACGTTATTCGATTAAAGGTTAAACGGCAAACTGTACCGCGAGCTTAACGTCGAGGAGCGTCGTGTATGCCGTGGGGTATAGGATAAAAGTGAAAGGTCTTTCCTCTTGACATGACATTTTCCCGACCTTAAAGTGATTAAACTAGCGAGGAGTTTTACGTATCGACCGCGCGCCTGCGAGGAGATCGGGCTTCCTCTTCCTGGTTTTTGAAGAGATAACACGTGCGTTACGCGAAGTAGCTGCACAAAGCTGAATAAATAGGGGAAAACGTGACTACTACGTAAAACTGCAACTGCATGTTGCCGTAATTAATTATATTAATAACTGATTTAACTATTAAAAGTATATTATCAAAGGCAAAATCGACGGCGTTATCTTTGTTGAACGCTACAGATACAGGAAACGTTGAAAAAGGAAGAACGCCTGGTTATTTATTAGCGCTCAGGGTTACAATTAACTTTTTATTTAGCCCGTCCGCGTGTAGATGCAGAATAAAATAAGAGTGAGATAAAAAAAACATACGTAAAGTACGCGCGTTTATATCGGTTACAAAGATAATAAATAAAGGTCATTGCGCAAAGTAGCAGAATAATCAATCGGGACAATTGACGTAACGGTAATGTCACATCCTATTTAAATTAACCCTTTCCCTCTATCGAGAGAGCCGTCTTGCACGTGTCGAAGATAAAAATAGGGTGGGTCGCGCGTCTGTCAGATGCGTCAACTCGCGCTAATAATAACGTGATCTTGAAAAACGAGGCGTGCCCGTGACACTGAAGAGACACTGAATATTCCGATTTGGAAAAGCTCGGAGCGTTTATAGATTACTTTCTTCGTCGTTCTTTCGTCGAGAAAGTACAAGTTCCGCTGGCCGCTGAAGCGGCGTGTAACGTCCCGCCGAGGAGTGTCTCGAGGAAGAGAAAATATTGATGAAAAAGAAATGCCTTTGGGGAAAGGATTTAAACTTTACCGTCCAAAGCGTCATCAACCGCTTACATTCTCGACAGTGCGGGGAACTGGGGGGAAGGGAGTCGGGAGGGGCGGGGGGGTGGAGGGGGAGGGGAGAGGATGAAATCGCGGAACAAAACTTGTCAAACTTCGGCGGCCCCGATCTTGACACCGGGAGTTCATTCGCGCGCGGGACATCGTCCGTTCTTTTTAAAAAGAAATCCCGGAACCCGCGGGTCGCGGTGTAAAAATAGTCGGGGGGAAAGGGGAGGAGAGGGGAGGTGGGAGGGAGGAATACAATTCATTGTGAAAATTCCGTGTGTCGACACGTATCTCCGGGGGGTGGGGGGGGGAGGCGCTCGCGCTCCTCTCCTCGTGGGGTGACGAATCGTCTCGGGAAATCCGCTAAGCCCGATCAATAAACCGATACATCATCCGCCGTAGCGCTATCGCTACTTATCGCCGAACATGAAAAATACTTTAGCTCACGTCGCGCTTTAACACCCGTCTCGCTAATATTCGCCGCCGTCTCGACGATTCCTCCAATATTTGTCCGCTCACGGACAATACTCCGCGCGCCGGTATATAATACAATGACAATAGGGGTATTGATCGTCCTCCTGGAGGGAGGCCCGCCATGTTCTTAGGCCATAGGTTCTCGTGCACGGCGAGAGGAGTCACTCGGTCGACGGGAGGATCAGCTCCCGGGGATGTAAACCCACGGCGTATCCGTCCTTGGTATGTTTGCACGGCACCGAGCGTTTGCTATTTGTCGATCGACTCTGGGCGCGATTCCCCGCGCACCGTAACGCCGACCGGGAATCAGGAGGGGGGGGGGAGGGGAGGGGGGAATGGTCCCAGGACGCCCGCCGCCGGTGGTATATTTCAGCGCGGCGGCGACACGAGCCCCGCTGTCCACGAGTCGCATCCCCCGAGTCTCTCGCCAAAGTCGATTAACGTGCCGTGGCACGCGGCGGGCGATTTCACCCTCTCTCTCTCTCTCTCTCTCTCGTTTTATTTCCCGGATCCCCGCCGGATAGAACAACGGACCTTCGGAAGCGCTAGGAGTCGGGAAAGGCGAACCGCGTTCGAAAGTGTGTTTCCGTTCGGACACGGGACGAGAATCGGGACAAGAGAGCATCTAGAGGGTATCCGAGACTGGATTTATTGCACGACACCTGCGTGCCTGACAAAAGGACGGAGATGTGATATGAACTTCGAGGAATTTCTCGTATATATACGTATATATACGTATTTCTCCCGCGGAAAAATTCTAAAACTGAGGAAAACGTCACGGAGTCACGAAGTCACGGAATCACTCGGATCTAATGAAATAATCCCCTAAAGGGAACACGACGAGGTTGAAAAACAATTACGAAGATTCGAAAACAGTACTTACGTACTTTCTGCGTTCGTATGCTACTAAAAATTGTTACTATCATTATTCTTTATTATTAATTATTGTTATATAAATTTGTATTTATTATCTATTATTATAATTT